AACAATAATATTTTCCATAGATAGGATCGAATAATACATACAGTAAACAAAAAATTATAGTATTATCAACCATTTGTATGTGTTTCAATTCAAATGATGTCTAGAAAATAATAGCACTATAATGAGAAAGATTGATCAAATACACTTTGATATTCATAACTTCAATTCAAATTTCAATGAAAAATTTGATGATATCAATTTATGATTTATATATTTAAACGTGTATCAAAAAAGTCTCATATGAACAATGTTTTTTTGCAAAATATAATCTATGACGGGATGACAAATAATATTTTACTTTTTGCATTAATTTAAAACTCGTGAAAAGTATACTTTTAGTTCTATGTCAAAAGTTATTTTTTTGTCAAGTCTAAATCTCAACTTGAAATTTTAAACATTCGTAGGTTTTAATATTTTGGTTTTTGAATGACAAAACTTACTAATATTTAAATTTTTTAAATTTATTATTTATTATTACTCTATAATATTAAGGGAGGGGTTAGTTATACTCACTTTGAACCAATCATCACTCACTCTAGTATAAAGTCAACTAGGATTGGTACAAGGTTATAGGTGACGGTGGTTTCAGTTTATGACTCTTCTAACATGATTGTACTCCTCAAACTACAATGACCACTATGGACTACCCGCAACCCGCACGCATCTTAGTACTTTTCAATTGGACTCGGCTCATTCTCATGCTAGTCTGATCTGACCGAACGCCTGAGGTTGCCATTGGCTTGAATGTGGATCGTGGCAATGTGATGTGTTGGTCTGACAGCACTGCGGCGGAGCCGGGGATGTTTGTGTGAGCTAAGGGAATTGAGGAGGAAGGTAAAGAGAAGATCAAAGTAGGAAGTAAGAAACTGGAGCGATGCCTTTGGTCCTTATCGGGACAAGACCTCTACTTGGAAGATAAAGGTTGATCAAAGATCCAACGAGAGTCGAACCTCTGATCGGGTAGCTTGTCAATCGATTCATTCACTCATTCAATCAGCTGCAGCAACCAACAAGAAGATCAAACATTTTCTGTGTGGTTACATATTTCGGAACTTATCACTATGCGCACATCAAAAGCTTTCTAAAGGCGTCAATGCGACTGTAATGAGCGACCTTTGTGCATGCTCGATAATCTGAGCTGAATGTCATCTGAAACCAAAATGTGCACATCAATTCAGTCAGTCAACATCTTATTCCTCCTTCCTACTTCGCCCCTCTACTTCCCTCCCTTCTCAACTCCGTTGGCTCACACATCCATCCATGTCTCAACCGAGTGCCGTCAGGCCATTCCACCACGTTGCCGCTATCCACATTCAGGCCAGCGGCAGCCGCGGGGGCATGCATTCTATCAGATCAGCAGGAGGAGGAGACGAGCCCAATTGAGTTGTTACGAGTACCCGAGGTGCCGGCGGGTTGCAGGCAATTCACAGTAGCGGTGTAGAGTGGCCATCGTAGTTTGTTTGCGAGAACTCCAACCATGTTAGAAGAGTCATAAACTAAATCTACTGGCATCCATAACCTTAGACCAATCTTGATGTATCATATCATAGAATGAGGTATGATTTGCTCAAAGTGAGGGATAACTAGCCCCTCTCAATATTAATTTATTTCTATTATTACATATTTAATAATGCTTTGTTTGTGCAGTCAGAGTTTTTTTTTCACTCATATAATAAAACGTAATTTCCTAAACAAATGTTGAAAATTGATGCTTTTACTACTTGGTAATGAAAAATATTCTGATTTTGCTACTTAGAGTCACAACATGGGCCTTGTCATGCATGTATTCTCGTTTAAAGTACATGATGATAAACCGTTGACTTCATTCCTCATTGTGCAATTTATGAACCTGCTCACATATTAAAATATAGTGTGATGAGGTAAAGGATTGCAAAGTAAAAAATAATATAAAAAACGTTGTAGCGCATGAAGCCTGTCAACTACTTCGTAAGAGGAAAATTGACAAAAATTGAGTAAAATTCTACAAACTCAACTTGCAATTTAGTTTAACTAACACTTTGTTGAAGGGAGTGGCTAGTTATACCTTACTTAAATCTTGTTAGCCCTCACTCTACTATACGCTTTTCTCTTATTGATTTAATATACTATTTTGGAATTAATTGCTACTCAACTCTCGAACTCTACATGGATCAATCAAAGAACTGCATCGACAAACCAAATAAGAGTTTAAACTAGAGTGACAGCTAATTAGAACTAAATGAGAGAAAACTAACCGCTTCCTTGTTGAATCAATCAAATTTTTATTGCTTTAGAAAAAAAATTGATAGATTTTTGTGATTTGATATTGTGTTTTGAGATCACGAATAGCAAATTTTTACATTTTTTTATTCAAAATCTGTTTAATATAAACTTGATCTTTGGATGTTTACTTGTTTTACATAAATACATCTTATATGTTCAATCTTACTATTCAAGAGTGAAATCTTGTCTTTGTTACTAATATGATTTGAAAATTTTATATATTTCTTTCAAATTTTTAGATTCATTAAAAGAATTTTTTTTTTCATAATAATTTTTAGGGCTATAAAATTTCATAATTAATATGTTTCACAAGCAATAAAGAAATTACATTTCTTGAGTAAACCATACAATATAATTATGTGTTCATTAAACATAAGATGATAAGCATTGAATTAAATATTTTGAATGATTATAATCAATATTTTCTTCTCTTCTAATTCAATTAATATAAAAATTTTACAATAAAAATAAAATACAATTTAAATATAAACAGTTACAACAAATTTAGTTTAAATTTAATATGAGACATCAAATTGGTTCAACAAATTAAATCATCTTTTCAATATTGATGAATTTAACATCTTAGAAAATTTCTTTGATAAAAAAAATCTAAATTATGATGAGATTTCAACTAATTTCAAACTCTTTGAAATTCTCATAAGTATTTTTGTAACAATAAATGTTTGAATTTGTGTATAATTTGAATCTCAATTTATGTTTTTGAATCTTTTCAAATCCTAAAAATTATAAACTATTATGTAAAAAATTAATATGAGTTGATGTAGATTTAACTCTATCAAACATTTGATATTTGAAAGTAGTAAAACATCTAGATTTATTGCGTGAAATTTTAGAGTATATTTTGAATGTCATGAAAAAATTAAGCAATACAAAACATCAAAGTATGCAAATGAATTACTGTTTGCAAACGAACGAATGAGTGACTGTATGACTGAATTGATGAATCATATATTATATCAGCTAATCAACTAAACGTCTCACATTAAAAGTCTGGATCGACAAACTTGGCTGGTTGATTTGGATTAATCTGCAACTGTTCATAGTCATAGATCTTCACTTCACACATGCTGCTCTGATCTTGTTTGAGCTCCCAATCATCACTCTGTGCTCCATCAATCCACTCTCATCCAAATCCGACTGATCACACTAATTTCTTCAAATTTTGCTCCAAACTCTTCAACCTGATCAATTCCATGCACTTCACAGCTCTCATCATTGCTGCGGCATCAGTAGTCTTACTCGAACTTCTCCTAAAGCTACTTTGATTATTGATCTCTAAAATGAAAGTACATTGGAAGTTATATATAAGATAGTTAGATAGTGTGGTATCACATATTTTCATAACATAATATGTTTGAGCTACCGTCACATCTATGATTATTAAAATCCTCGGATATGACTGTTGTGTTCAATATACTTCAAAATTTGACATCAAATTTTCAAATCAACGGTGAGACAATCCACAATTTTACCTCCAGCTTTTTGTCGATCTACAAGTAGATCATATCTCGTGTAAAATTTTCCCTAATCATGACAAAACTCAAATGTTTGATTTCGAAAGCGCCAAATGCATATCCAGATAAAAGTAGCTGCATTGCTACTGGTAACGGCTGTGAATGCAACATTCTAAATAGATAATCCAAGTTCAATACTCAATCCAAGTCTAAAAAGAAATGACAAGAGAGATTCCCAGACGTGTAGTGATGGAGTTTTGAGACCGTCAATAGCATGATGACAACAAGGAGGAAGACTAAACTTCTCTAGCACCTCCAGTTTCGTGATTCGATCTTCTCATCTTTTTGCTTTTTACTTAGTTCCCAGAGTACGTCATCCAGTTTCTATACGATACATTTCCTACAGAAACGAGGAATTCCGGTTTTGCAAGTCAGAAATATTATCCCGATCCGAAACAGTTCCGCTTTCTGTAGAAGCCTAGGGACTTTCTTCACACTTGCCCGTCCGACAGCTCCAATCAACGATTGGTGTTCAGATTCCGATGGATTTCGAACGCTTGGGTACTGAATCTGAGACGCTTGATTTTTTAATTGTCGCAAAGTGAATGGAATCGGAGTCGAACAATCGAAAGTATCGCCACTTTTTAAATCTGTACGAACGAAATGTTTTGTGACAGTCACTGTGACCTCCAGGTTTCAGCCGGTCGATCATAGAAGGACAAGGAATGTAACTCAAAAGATTTGAAGAAAATCGACTTTGAACATGTCGTTGGGCTCTGAAGAACTTAACCTCTGTTGTGTTCAAATATCACTGCTTTTCTTAAAACTTGTGCAAATGTCAATAGTTCACAGGTTTGAAAAGGAACGTCGTTCAAGTATTGTCGGCTGCTTGAAGGTACTGATCGACCATCTGAAAAGATTGTAGGAAAAGAAGAAAAGTAAGAGCCTTAGTATTATAGATGCCTGACAGATTGGGCAATGATCACCTGATAGGATAGCTCTACATTTCTGACAATGCTAAATTCCCAGTTTCTTGAAAATTTCGATCGCTACTATGTAATTGTATGGTGACAAAAAATCTCTCTACCTCGGCTAACAGTGAACGACAAATGAGGAAAAGTAACTTTACCAGCTCCTGGACCTTTCGGCTTTCTTTGGATTCTCTTCACGCATTCACTAGAAGAGACTTCACAGCAAAACCAGAGATGCGCTCAAGAGAAGTTCCTTCATGAGTATTCAGTAGCGTGATTTGTTTCTTTTCACGGTTATGTACGTAACCTGATCAGGACCACCGTGGGCCGAAGCTACATGTCAAGAAACAAAAACATACGCCCACCTTTACACCCACAATGTTCCTTCCGTAGAGATCTCGGCAAAATCCTTTGGTTTTCTTTTAGCATGTACAAGACTGGCGCTTTTACACACCTTGTGTCCGATCAGTATTTCCTCCTGTAACATCGAGAATGTACGTCGTCGTTCAGACTATTATAGGAGAAAATCTCACTGATAGCTGACTTCAACAGAAGCCAAACTTTTTTTCCTGGTTCCGTCCATAACCTCTAAATACCTTGCGCACCCTTTTTGTTATTTTAGTGCGGCCTCCTTCAAATACATTCTAGTTCATAATGTGGTGACCTTCGGTTTCGAGCACTGCTTCAAATCCAAATCTTCCTATCCTCTGGCCAAGTCTGTGTGTTGTCATAGATCGTCCACCAAAAGAGTACAAAATTCTAACGCTACTTGAAAGAACACTCGTATAGCCCTCTTGGTTTCTCCATGCCAATCTATGACGATTTTTTTTACTCTCATTTCAATTACTTTTCGTGCATATTGCATAATTTCAGAGCGCTTTCGAGGTGAAAATACAAACAAGTCCTTGTTTGTACTTCCAAGATATCAAAGCTCTTTCTAACGGTTTCACGACACATGAATGCAATTCTAAGAACAAGCTTTTCCCCTGGTTCCGCATTGAATAAGCAGGTGGGAGCCACCTAGGATTTCGAAATCGACAAGTATTATCAAACAAGTGAAATTTCCAGAACACAAGCCCTCTAATACCCAACTGACTCTCTTTGCAGATGTCTTACAACTCAACGAACATGTGCTGGGTCTTGAAGGTCCTACGTTGAACTTATTTCCAGGACCTCCATCCCTGTCACCTTGGCCACACTTTAGAAAGAGAGAAACTCCATGATTCTTTTTGAGAGTTCGCAGTTTGCAGGATGTATCCATCGGACAGTTTAAAAGCTCTGTTCAGTTTCCAGTCTGTAGAGCTCCAACGAATTTCGGTTGTCGTCATGTCAATCATAGTAAATACCTGTCCAGCGAGGTGGTTTCTTGGATCAGAAACTACGTGTACACGACCAGTCTCCTGATGAAGAGCATCAACTTGTTCTTTTGGCGTAGGTTCGTGCACAATTGAGAGGTATAAGACAGCTGAAAATATAAGAACAATCGATCGAATCGATGTGGTTGATGTACCTTCCCATCCAGCTTTCTGTTCCACGTCTCCACTTCCAACGATATTTCTCAAAGTGCAAGGGTCAACACTCTACAACTTGTATGGCATGTAGTCCTCAATATCATCCATCGACTCCCACCGCCGACATTGGATAGATAATGGATCACAGCCCTGCTGCCGAAAGTCTCCATGGCCTTCCTCGGCACAACTGCATAAATAGACAAGGGGCAAATTCAGCACGGGGGTTGATAGAGAGGGGAGGAAGGAAACAAGCATCAAGTTTCATCAACGCCTGTGGTTGCCACTCAAGTCGTCGCATGTGGTCCTCCACCTTGGGGACTGCCTAAGTGACACCGATGACAACACTGTCGGACAAGGGAACGAGGTGCAACTGGTAGAAAGCTTTACATTGGGCAGCTGGAAACAAAGCACTGGCGTCACGGCATGCGGTCAGCTCGTGACGGAGACAGCACCACGGCAGTGGTCCACGAACAAGGTCATCTCAGTTCGTTAAAAGGTGACTTACAGTAGATCGTGAGAAAGGTCGGTTTTTGATAAATGTTCGAAGATATAGTAATTTCCATTGTGTTAAAAGAAGTCAAGAGTAAATACGAATATATCCATTAATCCAATCTAATAGATGATTGGCACCTGCGAGATTGCGAGATTTTTCGTGTCCCCTGAAGCGTGGAGAAAAAAAGGTGAGTGGAGCTACGCTTGGTCTGATTATTTGAATATGTTATCCGCAACGAAAATCTTTAGGACAGTGTCAAGCATTTAAATATATTTCATTTGTGGTTGATTTGGTGGCAGAAGTTCCATGCACATCGTGAAGGAAACCACTGAATCTCCTAATTTTGGAAAATTCGAAAAACATTCCTTCCTCTCGGACTCTCATTCAGTACTTTTAGAAGGTAGGAGATTACTTTTGTGTTTGAGGTAGGAGACTAAAGTTACAATATGAAACCATCAGATGTAAATTAGGATTCACACGGAAGGATTTCAGAATCAATTCCATTGAACTTTCAAAGACTTGCCTTTAAAACTTTGAAAGGCTAGAACCAGGAAGTCCCAGCAGGTTGTCTAATTAGGTCGGACAGGACAGGAAGCTAAGTTCGCGGGCTTGACATGAAGCTTTAAGGATTGAGCACCCTCACTTCTGCATGCAGAACCAGATGATTGAACCTTCACGACCTCAGAGCAAGGGATGCAGATATGAATGATGTGCACTTAAGCACTTTTCGAAGGTAATTGCAGGAAATTTGCCAGCACTTGTTGAAGAGTTGCCGTGCTGTACTGTAAATGCAGTTTTCCACAATCTTGATCTTGATCTTGAGACTGCACTTGGAGAATTCCTGGGGCAAAATATTTTAAGATTAGTGCAGCGGAGCACAAAATGCAGATAAAGGTGATTCGACAGATGACAAGAACACGAGGAAACTACAATGTGTGCAGGACTAGATCAGCTGTTCAGTGGAGCTATATCGCACGAGAAAAATACAGTCGGACAGAGTACAAGAACATACTGAGTTGTTTCGAGTACTGTGTGAGTCCACAGCTAGAGTTCCGTGGTCCGAGTTTTCATGATCTTGCCGCCCGGTAAGCTCCTAGCACCCGCAGACTTCACACAGATCCTGGACGCCTGTTCCGACAAAGCGCGAGCGAATAAATCGCGCCCTTTCGAACAAAGAGCCAGCTAAAACAAACAAACGTATGAAGCTCTCGAGAGTATCTTTGTGCGACACTCAGTCCATAATTAGAAGAAGTTGCGATTAGATTGATCGAAGTGAATCGTAACGCAGAGTGCTTCCATCGAATCTCTTGCCATCTCAACAGAATCGCATGCTTGTTCGCATTCCTACCAGATCCGAGCGACCGTGAGGTTCCACGTTGAGACTCAGACACAGACAATTCACTCTCCTTGAGATCTCCAACTGATTCATGCTTTTTGTGGCTATCACACATACTGGAAAACTTTGTTGTTCATGATGATTCTTACTTTCCGAAGTGCTTTGCAAAGCTGCTTGCGAGGTATGAGACTCGTACGACTCTGATTCAACACTGACGTTCATTGCACTCGAGAATTGCTCCGTGGCATATGAGGCGACCGGCGTGCATGGGCTCGTTAGGTCCGACTTCCAAGAGCTCAAGGCGCAGCGAGTAACTTATGAAGTTGCAGCTGTGCATTCTCAGGCGTGCTCGGTACCAGAAATTAAACATCTCAGATCTGGGCTGTCACAAGACTCATGCTTCCTTCACTGATAAAAGGCTTCAGAAATATCTCAGGCTTATCCTCAGAGAAAGTCAAAGATCGAGCAGGGAGACAATATCACGGCTGACTCGCACATCCCGCACACCAACATAGACGAGGCAGGAGACGAGCGATTTCCTACCATGAAAACTGTGTAGTCCAACTGACAGAAAGCTTCGGAGTCGTACACCACGAGAGCTCCCTCCCACCCACAACAGCCAAATGGACGTGCAAGTGGTGTCCCCCACGGTAGCAGCAACCGCGGCAGGATTACCACGAGCGAATTCTGGCTTGTCCTAGAAAAGCCAAGCTGAGTCGGTTACGGGCACCGAGCATTCATTGAGCTCAACCAACTTGACTCCACAATTCCGAAGAACCTTCGCCGTCGTCGAGAGCTGACACACAGCCGAGCACCAACAAGAAACGAGGGGTCTGATTCGAAGCAACGGCAAAGCTGCCAAGGCCCAAAATTCTACTTAGCAGAGGTCTGCACCGATCTGAAGAAAGCAGCTGGCGCTGTAGAATGGCGCGGTGGCGGTGCAGCTGAGGCCCCAGAGTTCCAAGGAGGCAGCATCGACAACAGACGTAAGCGAGCCTGCTCGATTGTCCTCCAGGTCCCGAACCAGAAGGTGGAGAATCTGCGCTGCAGCTGAGGCGATCAAGTCCTGCTGCGTCAGAGTACAACCTTCTTCCCCTCGTCCACCAACAAACGTGATGGAGCTGGCCCAGACCAGGAGCAGCTCCACGTCCAGGGCCAAGGCCGAAGCTACCTGCTCCAGAGCGTCGCAATCCTCTCGAACTCCTGACACGCACCGAGCTCTAGCGAGTGGACGTGTTGATGAGCTGCCCTGAACCTCTGCAGAGCATGCCGCCTCGAAGGCCAAGGGAGTCAGCTCGTGCAAAGCTTCGCCTTCCCGGTGACCGAACTCGATGGCATGACAGTCCGCTAGCAGTCGTCGCCTCCCATTCGCCGCTGCGAGTGCAGTCGGGCCAGACGATGCATGCGCGACAGTGCCTTTGACATGAAGCATGCACGCCGCAGGCCAGATGCCATGGCGGCATCTGAGATCGGAGATGCAGCTGTGGCTCCGCCATGCTCGAGATCCGAAACATCCTTGTAGAATAAGTAAGGCCTGTCGTCTTTCTCCAACACGATCGATGCACTGTGCGAGCGATGGAGCGCTCCGAGTCGCCGATGCCAGGCCGCCGGCCTAGAACGTAGGCACTCGAATCCGCTGGATCGTTTGGACATCCAGACAGCAGGAGATGCCGCAGGAGTCCCCAATGAATGTGCCCCTGTCCATCATGCACTTTTCATAAAGACGTCGATCTGGAAATCAGACTGCTGCTGCTGCTTGTAGGCACAGGCTTCAACTTCAAAGTCGTAGTGTCTGTCTTGACTAAATGATCCATCTGCTCTACAGTACAGGAGGACACTTAAAATCCGCGGAACGCGTCGCGGTGAGTTTGATAGTCAACTACATGGAGTCATTCAGAGACTCAGACTCAAAAGTGGAGGCAGTAAATTTTCATCGTGTGAGGGAGACCACAAGCCACGGAAGGGAAGAAAAAATTTTCTGTTCGTATCCCCGTTGATATTTCTCTACATCTTCGTACTGTATGTCAGGAGCGCCTCCTTAAGATAGTGCACTATGGAAACGAGACATTTATTCCGCTCTACGAAGCACATCGAACTCAGAAAAGCGAACAGTGTCTTCCCTGATCTGTGTTCCGGCTGCATTAACTCGAAGACGTATCATCGACTTTACAACATACAGTATGGTACGACGTAGACGTCAAGCATGTTGCCTTCCTTCATAAGTTCCTAACTTCCAGATCCTTCCGGTCTCGGTCTTACTCGACGTCTGCACAATACCACCATCGAAGTCATCCCGATGCCTCGCGGCGGTGGTTTTAGCAAGCTGTACGACATGAGCCCAGAGATCCTGGTCTCTCTGATAACGTGATGTGCCCACACTGCCGTGCACTTTCTGCTACAGCATTTTCGTCGTCAATTTCCTGGGTTCACGGAAGTCAAGTTTTAGGGCTAATCAATAATCACCACGACGACAGACGCTCGCCGTCCTGGCTGAATTCTGGTATAGTCAGTATGTGTGCAAGCAATGGAACTCCCCATTCTCAATGCCCCTTGAAAGCCAGTTGGCACGATACGTCTTCCCAAACTGAAGATTCCACCAGAAGAGAAACCAGCTCGACGGAGCTGCCCAGGTTGATGCAATTCTGTAAAACTTGGAATATTCTTCTGATGCGATTTGACTAACCAAAGTTCAATGGGTGAAGAATCAGCTGAAGGAAGTTGGACACTGTCTGCGTTACAGAGTTTGGAATGTAAGTGTTAGTAGAGGATTGCCAGGATGAAGGAGTAATCCACATCAGAACATCGTTGACTACCACGAAAAGTGATGCTCAGTCATCACCTTTTATGGTATTTCCCAGTTAACCGCAGATGCAATCTGAAAATTTCAGACCAGTCAATGTGGTGGTGAGCACGGTGTCGGGGAAAGTATTGTTCCAAGGGGATAGAAAGTTGCTGATGGGCAATTGTCTCCGGCCCAGCTCGATGCTGGTCAGAGAAGAGCAACAGTGCCGGTGACCTAGAGCTCGAGAACAAACAGTAGTCGTAGTGAAGGCATGAAACGGTGAGCCTGACGGCGCTCTGAGAGGACAGAGAAGGAAAGACAAGGCTCGTGTTGCTTAGTTGAAGTCCATAGCCGAAGAGTCTGAAAACTGGGAGCCTTCGAGTTGAAGTTAGACCGGGAAGTGCGAAAGTCCAGTGCTCTGGCACTCGGATGAACAAACCTTTCGAGGCTGTAAAGCAAATGGTGCAATCCTATGGATGGATGTTTTCGGTAGTGCGCACTCATTTCCACTGAGAGGAGATAATGGACACATCTCTATCACTACTTTTGAATAATATATATCTGACAGCGTGCTTTTGCCTCTTTAGTACGAAGAAAGATTGCTACGGTGGTTGAAACTTGATCGAGAGCCCCCGATAATTCTGCACATCACGAACCACTATGCCGTCGGCCGGCTTTGCTCTCCTTTGGATGGATTTGGCCATCTTCTTATCCCATGCGCCACCATCTACTCGTTCGGGAAGTGCAATATTTGACGGTCTTAATATGTGCCCTACTTGTGGATGACAAACTTTGAAGGGAATGTTGTTCTTAAAGTCGTTCGTATAACATGCAAGTAATTACGAACTGAGTCACAGAACGCGCTAGGATGATATCTACCAGAAAGATTCCAAGCGTGTGTCCCAAGGTGATTAACCTAAAACCCTCAGCCGCACACACTCGCCTCCCATTTGGACACTTCAACCTGATACTGCTTCCTGAAATAGATGAATTACGTTGGCTTCTTTCTTGCGCTCTGTTACAACTTCGAAATACTCCATGAATTCCAGCTATTTCAGGCCTATCGAAGCGTGGGAATTTTCTCGGTGAAATTACTTGCACATGAGCAATCTGCTGTGAAGTGCCTCGGTATGCATGCTGCTGACGTTACTCTTTAAGATTCTCTCCGGTTCAACTTATCTCGACAACTCTAAATTCGAAATCTGAGCCGAAAATTCGGAGCGAACCTACGTCTCCAACTTAATCTATTGAACAGTGAAACCTCGTAACAAAAGCCATGTGCTCTGCTGATCTCTTGCTGTGCTCTCTATGCCTCTCCAAATTATTCCAGGAGCCTAAAGTAGCTTTCGCAATGTCCAAAAGCTACTGAATTTGACCTCGACAGGTCAATCCCCATGTCGAGTTGTATACCGTGGACAAAAAGGCAGGAAGCTTACAGACATCAAGAACACTTGAAAGCTCGACCTGAGGTTCACGACCTGGAAGGTTTCGGGAGAATTTCGTCAGCGAGAAGATTTAGGGAGGTCAACTGTAATCCGATATCTTTCTGTAAGAGTGGTTCAGATAAGGTGAACATTGGAGCGCAAAGATCGATACTCGAATATGGATCAGAACCACGAGAGACTTCAGCAAACAGAACAAGCAAGGGTTTGGGATACAGTTCGGCGTGCTTGAACAATATGATTATTTAGAAGAAAACAGAAACACGATCAAATTTCAACGCATGGGATCCAGCAAGCAGTGGATACTTGAGAATCACAAACCTCAATCGCTTCTTTCTTCCTGAGGAATCGAAGCTCATGCGCTCCACGAGCGAATGAACTGCGTCAAAGTCCAGGGTACGAGCGTTATGTTCGATAAATGTTTCTGTAGTTTCAACGGCCTGAGCTTGCGAGGTTTCGGGGTATTCGCCGGTACAGCGAAAACCCCGAAACAGTCGCCATTACCACTTTGTGCCCCGTCGGGAAGCCGAAGACTCTGGGCACTGTAGTCAACATTGACTCCGGGGCTCCGGGAATCCCTGCGAAGGGGCACTGAAGTCGCTTGTGCTCGGTGTACTTTCGAACGTTCCTTTTATCAGTGTACTGCAAAGTGTACTCTAACAAAGTCCGAAGGCAAAATCTGGAACGCTGCATTCCTCTTGTGCTGGGCTCTGCGTCGTCTCGGCAGGCAACTGAGCAAATCATATAATACTGGACATATTCCTTCCTTATCTACTTACTCAAAGATTGGGTAGCTTGCAAACCAATATTTTCATTTCGCTATGAATATCAAAGTATCAAGGAACATGACATGATGTGTTAAAAATCCAATCTTGAAACAAATAATTTGAAGTTATAAGCGTTTATTTCACTTTTACGAAGAATTTTGTGCAAATTGTGGAAAAACACTTGGAACCGCTCAATTCGATCCATTCAAAAAACTGATTGTCACTATTATCAAAATCTTTTAGCAAATTCGTGGAATATATAACAAATTTGAGTAGTGCAGGTAGTCGGCAGAGAAAACTGCAACGATATTTCATGTATGTGATTTTTTTAAAGGGTAACATCTGACGGAAGAAAAACTATAATGATAAATTTTTTAAGATATATAAACCATCAACTTGTGACCTTTGAAGCAGATGATATGATTTTTCCACATGTATACATACAAGACACTCTTGTTATGTACACAAGAGTGGCATTTTCAATTCCATTACTTGTATTTTTTGCTAATTTCTGTTAGAAATAAATATATGGAGCCCCTTTTTGTATATGTCTACAATCTTGTGTCATATAATTTAACTTGCATATTCAATGACATGAAATGTATGTAATTCGAAGTGTCTACCTGTCTACATACACGTTAATGAGTTGCTTAAAGTCCCAACACATGACGCTAGAAAATAAAAACACTCCTAAAGTCTAGATATAATTTCAGGTATATGTGGCATTCCACCAAGATGTCAATACTAATTCTTATATATTTACAAATTTGTGAATATCATATTCTCAAGCTTGTACTCTATGAATCCTTAGAACAAATGTATGTTTTTATGTCTAAAATATATAACATATATATATCTATAGAATATATTATATACATAATGTTATTATTATTATTTAATTTTTTAGGATGATTACATACATGTCTTAAAAAATAAAACATAATCAAAAGCTGAAATTTATTTAAACGAATTTGATGATAATTATACTCAATGTTACATTTGAGTCTTGATAAAAATGTTTTTTTATATATATTAAAAAATGTAATGAAACAAATCAATTTTTTCCCAAACTTATTTAGTTTCCAATACACGTATGATACAACAATTAGATTATACTCATTACAAGGAGTCTAAATAGTTTAGATCATCCAAAGTCATATTTAAAAAATATTTGCTTACTGCACTTTGATGTTATTTGTATCAAATATAGAACGATATAATTTGAGATTTTCTTAACGATACAGTTATAAATACTCCTATGTATCACTTTAAATATTTTCAATACAAAATTATCAAATTCAATTGAATAATCATAACTCAAAAAAAATCTCCTAAAATGTTATCATTCTATATTTATTCAGATCTTTTTATATGATAGTAGATTATAAAAATTTGTCTATTTATAACGCACTACATATATTTATAAGCATCTCAGATTTGTATTCTTTTTCTAAAAAACTCTTTTTTAGAATCAAATATTATTTAAAATAGTAACACAACTTTGAAACTAATAAAAATATGACTTTACAATCAAGAATATTGTCTGAGTTCAATATCTACATACAAGTTTCAGTATGTTTTGGCTTTTAAACAAACTTTAAGCATATGAAGAAAGAAATTAATATAAGTTTAATTGCATGCACCTTGTATGGATCGTGTTTTCTGATGAGTTTTCCCTTAACATTTTTGGCAAAAAACAATTTTCACAAGTTTTTCTAAAACAGTTCCAATGATTTTTACAAAGTTTCAACATAATTAGATTTTTTTTACTCTTCGAAATTGTTTTAAATTTTAATAAATATATTTGAATAAATTTGAACCTTGTTTAAGAGTCTTCACAAACTTTTTGAAATTGATACAACCTATCTGTTCATAAAAATTCATTCAATTCATGTATTGTTATATTTATAAAAACCTATATATTTATTCATTATCTTTCATGATTATGTTATGATAAAGTAACATTTAATCATTTTATTACATTTAAATATGTTATTTTATGATTTTTTATATATTAAAATACAATTTTAATCTGCTATTATCACAACTAATTGCAAAAATAACTAATTTTGCGCAAATAGCAAGTAACGATGATAAACCTTCAATTCATTGAAGTTCATTGAACATAAAGTATAGTTAAAGTTAAAGAGTGTCAATTTGATCAAGACGTGACGTGAAGATTGTAATATAGTATTGTCAAAGATTTTTAAAAATTTGCTATTTGATTCTTTTGTGGTCAATATCTAATATTCTTACTAAGATAATTTAGATTTTAATATCAAACTTATCATTATAAACTTATTCAATAAAGCATCTATCAAAATGATA